GAGTGCAGACGGCCAGGAAGTTCGGCCGGAGACGGCCGATCATGTATTTGGCCAGGTCAGTCAGGGACTGGCTGATGGCTCCTCCGAAGAGGAAGGTCCCCACCACCTTATAGAGGGCGGCCAGGTAGTTGTTGAACTCTGACTTGGAGTAGAGCCGCTCTGTGTAGACCAGATATGCCTCCCCTAATGAGATCTGCAGAGAGCAAGGGGCAAGTGGTGAGGGTCTTGGTGCCACCAAGCCGCTCCCCAGCACCTGGGGTACAGGATGCTCTGGCTCTTGGGGTCTACAGCAGAGGAGCCACTGGCAACCACCTGCCACAGGAGCTCATGGAGCCTCTCCCCCTCCCCACAGGGAACCAGCCCTTTGGGACATGGGTGTCACCTCCCCAGAGGGAGCTCCTGACCCCCAGCAGAGCAGGGCTCAACCTGAGGGCCCTGCTGGGGGTCTGGAGGTGGGCTGTGCTGGGACCCAGCTCCTGGACACAATATGTCAGAATGTCCCCACCCTGGAGGGAAGGGGTTGGTGCTTCCTTACAATGACAACGGTGCAGGTGATGGTCACACCAGCCATGAGGCCATGGGTGATGGTGTCTGCCTTGTAGGGGTAGCGGATGGAGTCATCGTTGCAGTAGAAGCCCCGCTTGTACGGGGAGTTCACCAGCGTCAGGATGATGAAGGGCAGAGACGCTGCAAGGCAGAGAGAAGGTGAGGACTGGGGACACTCCCCTGCAGCCTCCACGCAGGCACCCAGCACCGTGTGGTCTCTCCATCCCTCGCTCCCGTGTCTCTGCTCCCCGCTGCTGGGGATCCTCTCTGGGGACACGGTCCTGAGCTGCCTGCACCCAGGGCAGGAGGACTCGCACCCACCAGCACATTGGCCCCACTGATAGGGCCCTATCAGAGCTTGTAGCTGCCTGTGGAGCCCAGATACCACATGAGATGGCCATGACCGGGCACCTTCAGAGCCCTCATGGCTGCCCAGCTCCTCCCCAGGCGCACCCGCTGTGGGTCCTCGTGCAGGAGACCGGGGCTGAACTTGTGCCCCCTCCTCACACTCTCCAGGGTCTTTTTGGCCTAGGAGGATGAAGCTCATTAGAATTAATGAGCACAGGCATCTTGCAAACCTGTTTTACAGCAGGTAAAGGGTCTCCAGGCCCCAGATGGTCCCAGCAGGACCCTCACACCAGCTCCAGGAGAGCCAGTGCCCAGAGATGCTGGTGGGCGATCCAGATCCAACCCCTTGCCTTCGCTCTCACCAGCCTCCCCTCTCCCCCGGCTCCCGGCTGGATCGGTCCT